GGTTGCAGTCCCGTTGCCGGTCCCCGGTCCGGTACGGGGGCAACACTGAGGGTTGCGATCCGTTGCCGGACACGGAAAAAAGACAAAAGACAAAAAAAAAAAAAAAAGTGATGCATACTCAGGAAGTAGAGAAAAATCACTTGTCGTCTCTTCACCCATTATATTTTGGTATATTTCTTTCAGGTTTTCTTAATTACTTGACTTTTTAGATATATATGGATCAGGACTATAAGAAACAGTAGAAATTTAGAAAATTTTCTACACAGTTATACCTAGGGATTGCTGTTGAATTTGGCTGATGCAATTAGTATTGCCACATGTTGGCTAGCAAGAAACTTTAAAACATATTTTTTGGATTCCATGAATACTTACAAAAGTAAATGAGCCAATTTCTTCTGCATTCTCAAAGAAAAAGCCTTAAGGGGATAATTGTCAAATTTCTGTGAGACAATTTAAATTTTAAATTGAATTTCAATTTACCCTTGAGTGTGTCTTTTGGGTTCTAGAGTTTCACTGGAGTGTTCAGTCCCTGGGAGAGGTGATTCTGGGGAGATAGTCTACCCTAGGTACCTTTCTCAAGCCTTCCTTTCCCACATTGCTGCACTGTAAGCTCCAAACCCCAGAAAAGTGTACAGTTGAATTCTAAGTCCAAGGGTATAATTAGGACCAAAGTTAATTTCCTGGGGTGTTTTTCTAAATCTCCCTAAGTTTTTATCCATATGCTTGAAGTTTATAAAATTCTTGAAAAGTTTGAAACTGGCTTGTTTGTATTCTAATAGTTAAGTGTGTGTCTATAAAAAACATTTAGGAATAAAATAAGTTAATAGATTTGAAAAGAATGGCTATTTAATTTAAACTGTTTTTTATAGATTTTGAAGGTATGACCTTCCTTGAAACTGAGCAAGGAAAACCATTTGTGTCAGTAGTCAGACATTTAAGGTTACAGTATATTATTAGTGATCTGGCTTCTGCAAGAATTATTGAACAAGATTCTCTAATACCTTCAGGTAAGAGAACGTGATGAATTTATGATTTTAAGTAATATTTTTCTAATTATGACAGTAATATATATCATAGAAAATAGAAATTATCTAATCCCAAAAAGGTATACCTTTTTATGCCAAGTAGAATCATACTATATAGGCAATTTTCTGTCCTCACATTATATGATGTGGGTATTTTCCCATATCATATTTCATTAAATACTCTTCAGAATATTCAAATGGCTATATAGTATTCTGTAATATGCGTGTTCTTTAATTTGATTAACCAGAACACTGTTTTTAGGTCAAACTTTTAAAAATGACTTTTGAAGTATTTAAAGGTCATACTGTTTTTTCTATTAGAGCTCCTTAAGTGTGCTTATTTTCTGTTTTTATCTTTTCTAATTCTAAAGTTTTAAACATGTTGAAGCAGATGTAATATCTTTGCTGATTATAATTCATATTTTTTGAAACAACTACTGATTTAATTTTCTAAATTAAATCAGTGAAAGTTTCAGTTTAGTCCTATATATGCATATGAGAAATAGGAAATAGAATGTTTGAAGATTTACTTGTAAATGATTAAACAGTTGTAGTAATAATCATTTGTAGTGATAATTAGAGTCACAGTTCTCGGGGTTTTTTGTTTTTTTTTTTTTGGCAGCTGGCCAGTAAGAGGATCCGAACCCTTGACCTTGGTGTTACAACACTGTATTCTAACCAACTGAGCTAACTGGCTAGCCCTAGAGTTACAGATTTGTCTGAAAAGTTGTTATTATTTTTGACACCTCAATTTTGATATAGTTATGTGTTTACAGATTTAAATTGTTCTTGAAATCTGTATACTTATTTGGAAAGGGGTTGAATGGAAAGAAAATCTAGAGTTAACATAATGGTATATTTAAAAGTAATGCATTTTTATAAAATCACTTTAGCAGGTTTATAGACACTATTTTTGTGCTAATTTTGTATAAATCACTTTTAATAGTTTTAATTTTAGAGAGCTAACACCAGAGGGTGTGTATTATGTATGCATGGGTTTTTTTAGGACACAAATTATCTTATATTCCCTATTTATTGTACAGCAGTTCTGTAATTTTAGTGTGTGTTAAACACCAAGCCCTCACAATGATATAATGTTAGAAGCCAAGGCCAATTACACATGTCCTTTTAAGGCTCTTTAGAAATGGATTTTGAAAAGGGTGGGGGGACGACATGCCCACGCCAACAGGGATGACTGTTTTAAAGTAGTTTAATTTAGGTGTGCCTGTGATGCAGGTGGATAAGCTTTGTATTTTTGGAATGCAAGATGAGTACAAGTATTTCTAGTCTAAAATATTTTATTCAGTATAAAACCAAAAAGAATTTAGATACTATATTCCTTGCCAGATTTCAGTCATTTTTTTCTGATTTGAAATTACAGAAGGGGCCAGCCCGGTGGCGCACTGGAGAGTGCGCCGCTTGGGAGCGCGGTGGCGCTCCCGCTGAGGGTTCGGATCCCATGTGAAGACCGGTTTCCGCTCACTGGCTGAGTGCGGTGCAGGTGCAACACCAAGGGTTGCGATCCCGTTGCCGGTCCCCGGTATGGGCGCGACACCGAGGGTTGCGATCCCGTTACCGGGCAGTAAAAAAAACAAAAAGGAAAAAAAAAAAAAAAATGGGCGCGACACCGAGGGTTGCGATCCCGTTACCGGTCAGTAAAAAAGACAAAAAGGAGAAAAAAAAAAAAAAGAAATTACAGAAGAAGGATTTTTAAAAATTTTATTATACTCCATCTTGCAGATATGAATGGATAAATTTTCCTGAATATGCAGATAAAAGTTATAGTTTCAAAATAAAAATAAAAAAGTTAAATGAAAACATTTCTTTAAAGAAAAAGTTATAGTTTCAAAAGCGGGATATGAATTAAAATCATACATCAAGCTGGCCTTTTAGCCCATTTGGTTAGAATGCCGTGTTATAACACCAAGGTCAAGGGTTGGGATCCCTGTACTAGCCAGCTGCCAAAAAACAAATCATATATCACGTTGTGAGGGGGCAAAATGGAGTCACCTACCTCACATTGTTGAAATAGATTGGTATATGGTCTCAGTGGGAAGATATCTTAGATTTGAAATAAATTGAAATAATTTTGATTGATTAACTTGAAATTCATTGATCATTTTTCAGAAATATTGCCAAACATGTTAACATTAGTCAAAGTTATTCATCCAGCAATCTGGGGAGTTGTAGTACATTTTTAGGCCAAAAATCTGAGAAACATTTAATTTCAAGTTAAATGAGGACTTTATATAGAAGCACTGTATTTCAAGCACGGTTGAACTCCATTATTTCATGGAATTAGATTTATCTTAGGTCAGTTCATTAACTGTCTTATTTATACTCGCATTGTCATACCTCTTACACTTTGATACCCCTGATCTATCTTATTACCATTCCTCCCAAACCTTTCTGTTACATGCTCTGCAACCAGAGTCAACAAAATCTCAAAATCTTCCATCTCTTCCCTCCGTTTATTTAACTCTCCCAGAAAATGCTATTTTCCCTCTATAGAGGACTTTCTTTCTCTCACACCCTATTAATATAGGGACAGGAGGCTAGGTAATCGTAGTCCTATCCCCTTAGTGCCCTTTCCAAATCATTAGTGTGTGTGATCTGACCCTCTTATCCTTTCTCTCCTGACCCCCAATCATTTCTTCACATTCATTTAAGCAACTGGTTTACTTTAATTAATTGGTTACTGTCTGTCTCTCCCCGTCTAGTCACATAACATGTCCGTATGAACTATCATTTAATGCCCTAGCCTCCTACTTACTTGACCTCAACTCCAGTAACATTTATCTTTGCTGAACATTAAGGCATTTGGCACCTGTGGAACCACCATGAACCTTGTTGTAACCCAGAATTTCTCAGTATCAGAACTCCAGCAGTTTTCGGATCACTATACAACCTTCTAGCATGCTCATAGCTTTATTCCCTTTTACATTGTTCTTTGACTTCTGATACATTTTAAGCCCTCCATTTTCTGCCAGTCTTTCAAACTTCTCTTGCCTTTTCTTCCCTGTTGGGCTTGGATTGCATGATAGATTATGACAGACCACTCTCAGAATTGCCTTCCACTTGGCAAATCCTTAAACTAAGTTAAACCTTGTGTGTTCCTATACCCTCTAGTCTGTGCTGAGTACTACTGTTGAGCACTCTACAACTTTTGTGTTGGTGCCACTGCAAATTTACATTTCAATGCTAAATTTGGACCTTAGGACTCCTTATACTACTTTTACTTGGTTACTCCTCTTTTTCATTCACTTAAGCAATTCTTTCAAACCTCTGCCACTCTGTTCATGCTTCCTACCCAGTCAACTCACTGTCAGTTTTATGAAAATAAGTTGCTGAAAATGAAAAGGCATAACTCTGTATCCTTCCACTTGGCAAATCCTTAAACTAAGTTAAACCTTGTGTGTTCCTATACCCTCTAGTCTGTGCTGAGTACTACTGTTGAGCACTCTACAACTTTTGTGTTGGTGCCACTGCAAATTTACATTTCAATGCTAAATTTGGACCTTAGGACTCCTTATACTACTTTTACTTGGTTACTCCTCTTTTTCATTCACTTAAGCAATTCTTTCAAACCTCTGCCACTCTGTTCATGCTTCCTACCCAGTCAACTCACTGTCAGTTTTATGAAAATAAGTTGCTGAAAATGAAAAGGCATAGTAATTAATTTTATTCAGAAAATAGCTTTGGAACTAGATTTTTAGGTTATTATATGTGAGTATTTTTCAGCCAAGATTCTCCATAATTTTTTATTAATATTTTATACCTAGATGCTGTGTACAAAATACTCTTCTTTGTCCATGTGGGAATTTTTATGATGTAAACTTTTGGTCATTCTCCTTTATCATCCACATCTAACTTATAGATGACTACATCAGCTACAAGTAGTTCCATAAAACAACTTTTAGGCTTAGTTTTTTGCTATAAGCCTGACTGGTTTTAAGTGGATTTTTTTGTGTGTATATACCTGACATGACACTTTTCTTTTTACTTAGGCAATAAAATACTTGACAAGTTAGCATATCTTATCTTTTTGTTTTTAAAGTTCATAAATTTGAGACATTAGATTTTCAAATAGTATGGTTTTAGAGGCTGACTTCCCATGTCCTTTGTATAAGACAAGGGAAATAATCCAAATAAATTTCTTCAAACTTACTTATTCTATTTGGGAAATATTGTGTTTACATTCAAAACTGCTATAGACTAGATCTGCAGCTGCTGATCCATAGCACTTTCAAATCCTCTTTGATGTGTCCGTTTTGAGTTTTTGTTTAGGACTTTGGTCTGATAAAGTTTAAAATTAGTGCTTAAACTTGTTTTTACTGAATCCAAGTTTCTTGAATGCATTTTCTCAGAATCTTCCACTCAACAGTAGCTCTCTGCTGAAAAGGATTCTGGCAAACTCTGCCTAGAGTTTCTGCCTTTTGGAAATATGATTGCATATAAACATATTTAAAACTGTGTATAAAGGAAACTGTTTCACTTATTTTCATCTTATATTTTACCAGGGATTCTTCTCCCTCTCCCCCATCTCCCCATAACAGCTGTGACTTAACATTGCATTTGTGCTTGTGTTCTGTTGACTGATTTTTGGAATGCTACTTTTTTAAAGCATAGCCCTAGAATTTTTGAGCTACCAGTGACTAGAAAAATTATAAGCTTGACTTTTTACTCTTTTGGATTAAGGTAAGACAGGAGGGACAAAAAAAATGTGCTCATGTTTTTAACTTGTTAAAATGCTTTTGGTTTTAAAGGAGATTACAGTATACAAAGGTTGTTGGAATTTACATTTTTAAACATTTTCTTGGGTTATATATCTTCCATGATATTTGAGAATATATATGTTTAATCCTTTCATTTGAATTTTACAAATGAATCATGAAAAGCCATATTCTATCTCTAGATCAGTGCATTTTAAACTCCAGGTATAACCAATTAGTGGGCTGAGGAATAATTTTAATGGATAAGGATCACTTCTTTTTAAAAAAAAATACAAAAAAATAAAAAATAAATAATAAATAAATAAAATACAATAAAACAGAATTTTTAAAAACTCAAATGTATTGCAAATAAAATACATAATATGTGTATATGGGGGTACTTCAAAAAGTTCGTGGAGAAATAGAAAAGATAATACAAATCTTTCCATGAACTTTTAAAGTACCCCTGTGTATATGCTGAGTCATGTAAAATTTGCTACAACTATATTTGCCTATGAAGACAAATTGTTACTTAGACATTTAGCAGTTATTCCTTATAACAGCAAGAATATTATTTTGGAGGACTCTGAAAGAAACATTCAAAAGTGTGTTTAGAGGGTGTTTTTGTTTTTGTTTCCTTTTTGTCTTTTTTCGTGTCTGGCAACGGATCGCAACCCTCAGTGTCGCGCCCGCACCGGACCGGGACCGGCAACGGGATCGCAACCCTCGGTGTTGCGGCCGCACCTTGCTCAGCCAGTGAGCGGGAACCGGTCTGTATGTGGGATCCGAACCCTCGGCGGGAGCGCCGCTGCGCTCCCAGATCGCAACCCTCGGTGTTGCAGCCGCACCTTGCTCAGCCAGTGAGCAGGAACCGGTCTGTATGTGGGATCCGAACCCTCGGCGGGAGCGCCGCCATGCTCCCAAGTGGCGCACTGCGCCACCAGGCCGGCCCGTTTAGAGGGTGTTTTAAGGAAAGACACCAGTAGATCATTGGAAGTCATCTGGATACCTTTATTAAGTAGAGACTTTGGAAGTGAAAATCCAGATTTTAATCACACTAGGGTTCCCCCTCTCCTTTAGGTAGAGATTGAGAAATCATTTAAGAACTTAAAAAATAGAAAAACTACCCTTTCTAGTTGAGAGTAAATAAGAGCAGAAAGATAAATATGGTGCTAAGCCAATTCTACTTTTATTTTTAATAAATCTATGTTTTTATCTAAAATAACTAAAATTTTAGCTTACACAGACTTGTTTTGTTGAAAAATATTGTAATCTATAATTTTTATCCTATTTAGAATAATTTAAATTCAAATATTTATAATAATAGTTATCTAAATCTAATATTCCAAAATTATTTCTTGTGTGTGTATACCTCACTTGCTAATTTACGGATGGCTTATTTCTCAAATAACTAATTAATTTTTATTTTTAGATAACTTAATAAAGGAAAAATCCATTATTCAGTTTTCTGGCAGAACTTTTGTAAAAACTGAAAATATTTTTTTAGGTATGATTTCCACAAATGAAAATTAATATAATCTGTGAAAAGAAGACTATTAAATGCAAGAATTTGCTTTTAACTAGGGATTTAAATCCTAATTTAAATGTATATAATCTCAGTAGTGTCTAGCCAAGGCAAAGCTAGATAACCTTTACCACTTTAAAGATCATTAAGCCTTATTGTTATAGCATATTTGTAAAATATAAACTATCTGCTTTTCAATTGCTGTATTAATCTTGAATTAACAACTACTTATAATGTTTAAATCCTTTATATTCTTCCATTTTATGTATCTATTTATTTATTATTTATGTTTACATATTAGATTGGCTGTCTTCTGTGTATAAACAGCAGTGGCTTGCTATGCTCCGGGCAGAACAAGACAGCGAGGTGGGGTAAGTATATTATATCATATAATTATTCATTTAAAAAGAAAATTTTTGCTATGAACTTTCAAATGCATTTATTATATTGCATAATTCATCTACTTTTTTTCACCTAGTATTATATTATGATTTTCTTTCATCATATTGAAATATTACTTGGTTTTTTGTTTGTTTGGTGGCTGGTGTTACCAGCACCACTCTCTCCCAAGTGAGTTAACCAGCCATCCCTGAAATATTAGTTGGAACAATGCTTTCATAAAACATGGTTTTCATATTTATATATAGGTAAATCTGATTTTCTTATTTGTGGTAGTATTATCAAATTCTGATTAATGTAATAAATAGGTTTTGAAGATATTTGAGTTTAAAATGAATTAAAAGCCATCTGGTTACAGATGCTTTTCTCAAAAGCGTTTGACCCCCTATATTTATGCACTTTCTTCATTTTAAGAGGAAAATGATCTGTACTTCCAATGTATAATGCTTGGCGATTCATAGAAGTATTTTCACATTTATCATTTGATCCTTATGCTAGCTCCTAGAAATAGGCAGTGTGAAGAGAAAATCTGTGAGTATATAGAAGTGGCCTTAAGAAGTTTTAAATTTTTGCCCCTGATCTCTTTTAACCCATTTTTATACACCAAAGAATTTCCTAAAATAATGACCTAGCTATAAGTTTATATCGAAACAATGAGTGTATGAAAGTGTTATATAAATTTGTTGGGAAAATAGAGTAGTTTGTTCAGGGCCCTCACCTTGGGTCCATTTGGGTGTGGTTCAGCATCCTTTGTAAGCAAATTGTGTGTGTGTATGGAGTTAGGGCACATGTGCACCAATGTGTCTTTTTAGTTTTGTTGCTATTCTTATGTTCTTCAGAGAGAGAGAGAGAGGTAGAGAGAGAGTGAGAGAGAGAGAAAGGGGGAGAGAGAGAGGCCATGCTTTCCAGTCTATGGCTCCAAGGACCTTTTGGCCAGTTACCTAGTTCATAGACCTGAATGAAGGGGTCTGTGAGAGAGAGAGAAAGGGGGAGAGAGAGAGGCCATGCTTTCCAATCTATGGCTCCAAGGACCTTTTGGCCAGTTACCTAGTTCATAGACCTGAATGAAGGGGTCTGGTGACCCAGCCTGGTGTGTGTGGGGTCTAGTGACCCAGCCTGGCTTATGAAGGGTTTGTGACCCAGTCTGTGAATGGGCTTGAGGGGTCTGGGAGCTCCAGACCTAGACCTAGCTTTACAATTGGCGTCACGAACAAGATTAAGAGAGCTAGACAGTTGACGCTGAGAGCAGGATTCTAGCCACCACAGATCTCCACAAAATTCATGATGACTATGAGGTTATTATTATCCAGGGTTCTTAGTTTCTACTTTATTTGTAATCTCATTTTTTCCAAAGATATTCAGAGCACACTTACCTAGCACAAATACAGTAAGATTGTTAAAATAGTAATAATAAATCAAAATCCAAAAATTGAGAATTAATTATTTAATGGAATTCAGATTTGAATCATTTTCTAATGTATGAGGTAATTTATAAATCATTCTACTTCTTATATATTCAGTTTTTAAATTATGGATGTTCTTTATTTTTCAAGGTTTTCCTCACCTGTATCCTTATTAAGGTTAATATAAAGTCTCATCTAAGATACTGAGCTAGAAAAAGTACCTGGTTTTCTTGCCCTCAGTAGTATATGATTATGTTGCCCCTGATAAAATGTTCTATTTCACAGGTACTGAGCATCTGTTCACTGCTGCAGGGCTCCTAAAGTGAGGAAGACAGTGTATTCCCTGGATACTGGTTATAATCTAGTAAAGTCTCCCTCCAGGGTTCTCCTCTTCCAAACTCTCTTCCACGTTTCCATGAGGGTCATCTTTCTAAAACAGAAACATAATTGTGTCATTTCCCTGCTTAAATATGTCCAGGGACATTTGATGATAGTTAAAGGATTGTTGCTATTCAAGAATATTGAAGGTAGATGGTGAGAAAATTTGGTTTATTATGCTATTTTCTCTACTTTCATATGTTTGCAATTTTTCATAAGTTTAAAAGTAACAGAAAAAAATGCCTAGGAATTCTCTCTTACCTACAGGAAAAGTTGAAAGTTATTAGCATGGCCTATGGGGCCCTTCAACAGTCTATCCCAAATGTCTTTAGCTCCATCTTCTCTTATGTTCATTTTATGCACCAGCTGCACTAAATTCTTCATACATTTGGTATTCTATTATGGTCCAGTCCCTTTTTTATCTACTATCCCTTCTATCTGGAAAACCCTTCCTCCTGCACATAATTCACCTCCCATTTCTAAGCAATAAGCTCCCACTTAGGCACGAATAATATTTACTCTGTGATGAGCCCCCCTCTAGCCCTGAGCAATAGATCTGTGCCTTCTTCATGCTCTTAACATCACACCTCTCCACATTATTGTAATTATTACTTATGTCTACTTCCCTACTAGAATGAGCTCTTGGGTGTTGAGGACATGTTTTTTTAGTTTTATTTATGTTTACTTATTTTTATTTATTGTATTTGTTTCATTTTATTTTTTATTATTATTATATATTATTATGTCTCCAGTTTCTAGGCACTTCATGTTGTAAATATGAATGAATGTATTGTATTACTTTTAGCAGTTGGAATTATCAAGCTAATAATAATGTCATTTATTATTACAAGTTGAAATAACAGTGTTTCCTTTAGTTGTTTAAGGTTTTTAAAGTAAGGAATGAAGAAAAGACAAATTGATAAAATTCCTAGCTATTTTCTATTAAATATTGACTTTATATAGTTATTCTGCATGAAAAATGGTTTGCATGTGAAATAAGTAATATTCAGTAGTAGGTGTGACCAAGTCATGTCTTATAGAAATAAGAGATTTTAATTTCTTTTACATAATAGACTTTTAAGTATTTTATTTTCCTGGTGAGCACAATTTCTCACAGAATTTTTTTTTTCCTCTTCTCTGGTTTGGCTGAGCCCTAATAAAAGTAATCTAGAAGTCAGTGCAATAAGTGAAACATTGAACATTTAAAATATTTAGCAAAGGCAATGGACTAGATTTAATCAGTACATTCTTATTTTTATCTATACCACAAAAATTTACTTTTAAATCTAGTAGCACAATTTACTGTTCTTTTTAACTAACAATTCTTTCTCGATTAGTAGTTGCCTATTTTCTATGAGAGTTCATGTCTTATGTATATTTTTAGGCCTCAAGAAATCAATAAAGAAGAACTAGAGGGAAATAGCATGAGGTGTGGTAGAAAGCTTGCCAAAGATGGTGAAGTAAGTATATGTTGTGACTCTTACTATTCTCATACAAATTGTTGTCTTATCAGTGCATAATATATTTCAAGTAACAATCATGACACCTGTTGTAACTCAGAATAGCTTATTTGATATAGTTTCTATAGCACGATCTCCTGGGCAAGGAGTCATGCCACTGCGCTCAGTGGTGATTGATTACTCAGCCTTGTGTGAGACAATTAAATTTAAACTTTGGGTCCAGATAAGAGACATAAGAAAAGGATCCCTGAGGAAATAGTGTTAAGTCATTCTATTTTACAATTTCCCTCAATCAAAGACTTGCAAACTCTTTGATTGCAGCCCACGTTAAAAATCACCTTTTTTCACTACTATCCAATATAAGTGAAAGAAAAGTATTTAAAATAATACTTACCCCTGCTGTGTCCAGAGATCCTGTTTTCTATATTATTTTTTTTTAAAGCTGATTGTGATCTATTAAATTGATTTTACAACCCACTAATGGGACATGAACGGTATTTTAAAATATTTTATCCTAATTAATCGTAATTTTCATCTCTAAAAAAAATTCAGCCTAATTTAGATACCCATTTGGTTATTGTTCTCCCAAAATTTCCCTCATTTTATTTTTAATTTTTAAAAGTTAATTATTTTATGTTTGCATTTATAATTGTGATGAGTGTTCGAGTATGAAAGAGGAGTAGTTGTCTTCTTTACTCATTCTTTCTTGTGCTGCTTCCAGATCTTGTTCTTTTCTTGTTCCTCATCAAACCACAGCCCCTTTAAAGCAAATGCCTCTACTACACCACCTACTTCCCTTACTGTGGCCATCATTCACTAGGCTCACTGTCTTTCTTTATTACTACTCTCGTTACTGGTTGTGGTGATTTCAGTATCTCTGTTGCCTGACCTTCCTTCCCCCAGTGATCATGTACTCCACCCTCCCTCAGGCACCATTCCCATGAGCATATCCTTAATTTTTACATTACTAATGACTACACAGCCTTCAAAATCTCCATTTCAAGCATCTTATTTTCAGACTCCACCTCCTCTTTCTAGCTCTCTCTGTCTAGTACCTGGACTCCAGCAATTTTTTAACCCCACTGGGATGTACAATACATTGTTCTTACTACCTTTTCCTATCACCTTTCTCACCACATTCCTACTTCTTTCTTTACCTGACTTAAATTTTATGTTCTATCTTAAAATTGGTCCCCTGCTTATACTCTTTAACTTCCCTGTTCCCTCTTTGACTCTGTTAGACTCACCTGGCCAAACCCCAAGTCCTGTTAAATCCCAGCTTTCCATGCACCCCATGCCTACATCCAGACAGATGAAAGTGACTAAAAACCCAGTGGGTTTCACCTGAATGTTTTAACCATAAGTTTCAAGCACGTCTTTAGTGCTACATGGTGATGCTCGTACATTTCCCTAGTGAATTTATTATCTTCCCACTATCCGAGGTGACTCATACCTTCTCTCCTCAAAAGGGCATCGTTATTCTTATCTAATGGTCTTGCTTCTTACAGCAGTAGGAAGAGATTCTGTAATCTTCTTACTAAAAATTCTACCGGTCTACCTACATCCGGAGCTGTGTGCACTGCTTTTCCTCTTGTTAGAATGGATAAACTTTCTGCTTCTATCCTAGTCATCCCCTCTCCTTGTTCTAGACCTTATCCATGCTCACCTATTCAAAAGCTTTGTTCCTACAGTTATCACCTCCCTCTCCAGCATCATCAGTTTTTCTCTTCTACTGGATTATTCTCATTTAGCATATAACATCCTACAATATCACCTATCTTAAACTATGCCTTGGCCCCACATCCCCCTCTAGCAGCCATTCTATTTCTTTGCTCCCCTTTTAGGCAAAACTCACTGAAAAAAAGTTGCCTGTATTTGTTGTCTATACAACCCCTTTCCCTATGCATTGTTGAATTCACTCCAATTTATTCGCACAACTCCACTGAAACTGCCATGCCAACATCACCAGTGATCCCACATTGACAAATCAGTTTTCAGTCTTCTGAAAACTCTTGGCAACATTTGTTCACTAACTCCTTATTGAAAGATTTTCACCACTTGACTTCCAGGACAGCATTCTCTGCTGCTTTTCTATTTCATTGGCTTCTTCTTCTAAGTCTTTGCTAGATCTTCTCCTCTTACTCAACAAATGTGGTGTGACTAGAGGCTCAATTCTTGGATTTCTTCCCTATCTATGCTCACTCCTGAGTTGTCTCATCTAGTCCCATGACTTTACGGCCCATCTGTATACACCTATGACTGCTAGCTCCAAATTCATATATCCACCTGCTCAGTTGGCATCTTTCTTGGATACCTAATAGCATCTTAAATACAACAGTCCCAAGCAGAAGTTCTGATTTTTGTCTCTAAACTTCCTTCTTCCCAGGTGTTCTCCAACCCATGTGCGTCCATTGCATTGGCTCCAAACTTTGGATGTATTTTGGATTCTTCTTTCTTTTGTACCACACCTTGTGTCCATAACATTCCTCAAGACCCTACCCCTGAAATATGTTCTTAGCATGTCTACCACTAACGCAGAGTCCAGGCTACCATTCTTTCTTGCCTGGGCTATTATAGTAGCCTCACACCTGCTCTCCCCATTTTACTCTCACTCCTTTACATTCTATTTTCCATACAACAGTCAAAGTGATCTTTTTATTTATTTATTTTTTATTATTATTATTTTTATTTTTTTTTCCCTTTTTGTCTTTTTTACTGACCGGTAACGGGATCGCAACCCTCGGTGTCGCGCCCGTACCGGGGACCAGCAACGGGATCGCAACCCTCAGTGTTGCGCCCGCACTGCGCTCAGCCAGTGAGCGGGAACCGGTCTCCACATGGGATCTGAACCCTCAGCGGGAGCGCCGCCGCGCTCCCAAGCGGCGCACTCTCCAGTTAGATCATGTCCCTTCCTTCCCTAAAATCTTCCATTATCCTCCACACTTGGAAGAAATCCAGTCTCTTCCTTGCCATGGATGACTAGTCCCTACCTTTTCTGGCCCCTAACTGCCTCTATGACCTAATCTCCAGCTTCTATTCCTGCTAGTCACTGCCCCATCCACATAGCCCTTCTTGCTCTTCAATTAGATCATGTCACTTCCTTCCCTAAAATCTTCCATTATCCTCCACACTTGGAAGAAATCCAGTCTCTTCCTTGCTAGATCATGTCCCTTCCTTCCCTAAAATCTTCCATTATCCTCCACACTTGGAAGAAATCCAGTCTCTTCCTTGCCATGGATGACTAGTCCCTACCTTTTCTGGCCCCTAACTGCCTCTATGACCTAATCTCCAGCTTCTATTCCTGCTAGTCACTGCCCCATCCACATAGCCCTTCTTGCTCTTCAATATGCCAAGCGTGTTTTTATCTCCAGAGCTTCGTACTTGCCATTCTCTCTGTCTAAGGCACTCTTTCCCTAGATAGCTACCTCATCTGCTCCTTCAGTGACTCACATCCTTACTCACCTAGCATCTCCTCGGAGACAATTTCCCTTAGCAGCTGTCTAAACTAGCAGTCTCCCCAGCTGCAAGCCCCCTCTTCTACCCCGTCACTCTCTCTGGATGGTCTCTTCTCTTCTATTCCATGAGTATTAGTCATCTCTTCTCCTACCACACGAACATATACACAGATTAAAATGTAAATTCAGAAACTCTGAATATATAAACAGAAACTCTGTTTTATTTTATTTTATTTTTTATTTTTTTGATCCCCTTACCGGTCATCTTTTATTTTTTATTTATTTATTTATTTTTTAAATTTTATTTTGTCGATATACAATGTGGTTGATTATT